TCGGACTTACACCAACCTGTTCATTTTACAGCTGATGAAACAAGAGGCCCAGGAGGACCTTGCTGGAGCTTTTGCAGTTAGTTGCCATCAAGTTAGAATTGGAATCTGGGTCCCCTGTCTTGGCTTCTTTCCCATTCAGCCTATTTACTTGAGCACAGCGTGTGCATGTAGCTGGGATCAACTCTAGAAGATGCCGAAAGTGTTCACTCTATGGTTCGAGAAAGCCCTTTCAGCAACCCTCCTCCCAAGTTTGCCTATAGCCATTGAGCTGTGTGAGGTGTGGGATATTTTGGGGGTCCTGAGGAAAGGCACCTCTCTTTTGCTGCTGATTTATTCTTTCTTTCTGTTCAGGGAACCATATAACACTGGGGTTTCTAAATCCAAATGAGGAAAAGGAGAGGTAAATATTCATTTCAACCGGATGCTTCTGAAGCATTGAAGACCACTTAAAAATTAAGGAATAAAAGTTAAGAAAGGAATCCAAAGGTTAAAAAAAAACTTGCGAAAATGTTCAGCAGGGTGAAGATTAATATCTAACAGGTTACCAAGCTCTTAGAACACATTCATGAGCTTCCTCCCGGAAAAGTAAAACTGCTAGTAAAAGAAGTGAAGAAAAATCAGCATTTTTATGATATGCTGCACCCAAGCCACGGTTTTTCTTTTGAGCTTAAGTTGATTGTGTCCATGTCTTTCAGAAAGGTTATCCCCTTCCCCCCATTTAATAAAAGATTTGGGTAAGACTACTCAGGAAGTGGGAGGTGGGTGTTTTGAACGTTTTCTCTGAGGAAACAACTGCATCTTGCTAGCTGTGGCAAGAACAGCAACAGGGGTTACACTGGTGGAATCAGACAGGACCTTGATGCAGCAACCTTGGTACTTGGATTCTGGCTAGGAAAGAATTCAGAGCCAAGACTTAAACCATAAGAGAAGCTTTACTAAGAAAGTCACAGAGGTAGAAAAAGTGAGCCATAGAAGAAATGGGTTCAGGAAACAAGTTACAGAAACAAAGAAGGGCCCTTGGAGCTTAGGAGAAGGAGCGAGGCAAGGAAAACACGCCTGGGGGAAGGGGAAGGGGAAAGGGAGAAAGAGCACACTGGGTCCATAGTCCTAAGGGCTTTTAAGGAGGGCATTTTAGGGGAAGTCCCAGGAAAGACTCTCAATAGAATATTGTTCATCAGCTTTCCAGGTGTATCCTTTCAAGGTTATGGTCTCCACTGATTGGTCAGGGCAGGGAGACACTGGTCAATGCAGCTGGTCCTGATGTCAGCCTCCGCTGTTTTTCTGGGCCTGAGCGGAAACACAACTGAGGCCTAGATGGAGCTGATGTGGGTCAGAGCCTCATTGTCCTGAGAGCTTAATGCATAAGGGCTATTCTCCAGCCCCCTCCTTGGTTCCCCCCCTAAGGAGGGGATCTAACCTGCATGACTAGCAACATGCCAGGAAGGAAAGGTCAATGGAGGGTCCACACAGCATGGCCAGAGATATGCTAAGGGAGGAAAGGTCACTCTGGGGCGAGGCCCCTGTTTTCCCAGTTTTGTTTGTTGCTAGGCACCTGGGGCTTTCCAATCTGGTGTCCTTCTGTACCTGTGGTCCTTGCTCTGCTCATGTTTGTCTAACTGCCAGTGGACTAGATTTTATTCTATGGAACTAACAAAGATTTGAATAGACAGCAAAGTTAGATGTTCAAAAAAAGCAAAGAGCCTATGGCAGGGGACTGGGGGGAGAGAGGAGAATCTATGGAATTCTACAGATTTATAGAGATTTGGTAAATACATTTTTTTTTCAATCTCACAAGGCAAAAAGGCATCTGGAATTCATACTTATTTGTTTTGGAGACCAGAACTCTAAGAAGAGCAAACTGCCCAGAGAAAATCGTTCACTGTGTTAAAGGACTCAAGTCATTGATTGGTTGGGTTCATTGACTTTTTCTTGGCCTGAGTCTGGTTCAATCAGGAAAGGAAGAGATAGCCAAGATGCTGTACTGGAGCTCAGCCATCAGCCCAGTTGTACAAGTAGTGCAATACGCACATTCTACCACAACAGGAGACGCCTCGGTAAACCTCTCCTCTCCAGAAGTTTCTAATTTAGCTTATTGAGAGATCTTATTCACCAACTGTGAAATATATCTTCAACTTTACAATGACAACCACTGGGAATGTATATTACATTTAAAGTGAATATTGCTGGAAGGCATTTGTAAAATGAGAGCCACTCCTGTATGACAACAGGAAAATTTATGGTTTGTCAATAACCAGCCTTTCAGAATTGAATAGTTTTGCCTCAGAGAAGTGACAAATTGGAGGTGTTTTACAGGAGACTTAAAATTTGATATTTCCAATCCTGCTTCTGCTGGATGATCCCTCCTCACTTTCACCTTTTTATAACTGTTAAAAAAAAATACTGTTATCAGATAGTAAATCCTAGCATTGGGTTCTAGTCTTCAGGAACCTGAAAACTCTTCCCTTGGAAGTGCGGCCACACTGTAGTTCTATTTATAGAGTTTATAATGAGCCACATTCCTGCAAATTCAGCAGGAGCGTGGAACAAAAGGTAGGGGAAGAAGACAAAGGAGTGGAGAATTCTGGTTTTCCCTTCTCTTTATGCCTCATTTGCCTTGTAAATTCACAACCGTCTGTGGAAGCCATCACAAGCAAAACTTACAGCAGGAGACATGTGATTAAAAATTGTTATTGCAATAGCTGAAATCCAAGCAGTCCGGAGCCCGTTTTAGACAGCACATATATTTATATCTAAAGGGAAATAGATATCCAGCTTTCTAGAAAATCCTCATATATCAAGGTCATTTATTTCTTCTTCATGGAAAGCATCATGTTGGGGTAGATGCTAAGGGTACTTGCCTTGCCTTTAAGGTTTTTTTTTTTTTAATTTCTTTATTGATTAAAATATTACATATGTTCTAGTCTTCAGTCTTCACGTCCTTCCACTTTCAGCATCCCCTGGGGTTCTCCCCTTTGAATGTGTAAGAGGGTATTTGACATTCTCTCATATCTTCCCTCCCTTCCCTCCTCCCCTCCTCTACCCCACCTCTCTTCCTTCACCCTTCCACAAATATTTTCTGAGCACCTGCAGGGGCTTGCCTTAGGAGGGATACAACAGCAAGCAAGATGCAGTTCTCCAGAAGCTCACAGCCAGGTGAAGGACAAGTACAGCAGCCCACGCACCTGGTGTCGGAAGCGCTAATCTGGATAGAGGGGCTGAGGAGTGATTGTTCCCAAGTAACGCCCACAGTCACTTTTGCTTTTTCTCCTGAAATGCCACACAGAAGCTTGTTTTGCATCACGCCTCTTTTTCTGCCCAGGAAAGCAGCATGTAATTTATGAACTTGTACCTCTTGTTAAATGAGGTCAATGTCTTTGTGTTCTGTACATTTTTTGAAAAGTATAAAATTAAGTTGTTTAATGCAAATGAAGGAATGCAATAAAAGTACAGAGGCTTGGAAATAATCTTCAAATTTTTTTTAAAAAATGCATGCTGCAAAGTTTTTTTGAATTCTTTTGTTAGGTTTATGTATTTAATAACCCAATAAATGATTGTTTTTAATATTCACTTTTAAAAATATATTTTCCATTATAGTCTTAACAACAGACATCTGAATGGTTATCTTTTCAAAACTGCACGGGAAATGCCTTTTTGGCTCTGATGGATCCTAACCATTCTCCAGCTTCCTTCTTCACAGTCAGCTTCTGGCTGCATATCAGGGATCTGATCCCTCTCCTCAGTTGGCCACAACTCAGTCCTTACCTTAAACTCAATTTATTCCCATGTGGATCACATTATGCAGGAGATACAGAGGATTCGAATAATGCAGTGCTAGCCAGTCTACTCAGTGGTTAGAGCACTGGCCTGTGGACTGAAGTGTCCCAGGTTTGATTCCAGTCTAGGGCATGCAGCTCAGGTGCAGGCTCCATCCCTGACCCTGGTCGGGCATGGGTGGGAGACAACCAAGCCAATGTGTCAACATCACTATTTCTCTCTCCTCCCCATCCCTTCCACTCTCTCTAAAAATCAATGGAAAAATATCCTTGGATGGGAGTTAACAACAACAAAAAAGAATGTGAACAGAGGTTCCCTCCTGTGGAGCTGTGGAAAAAGGACAAAAATACATAACATTTAAATAATAATAGAGATAGCATGCCCTTTGGTGTAGTGACAGATCCACCACTGATGAACCACCACGTAGGAGATTCAGTAACAAATTGCGGTAGCATTAGGAAGGAGGGAACTGTGAGCTTCAGTGAGCTATCGGGGCTGGTGTCTTAGTCTGCTGGGACTGTTAGGACCAAGCAACTGAAACAGCAGAAGTATAGTTTCTCAGTGCCGTGGGGGCTAGCAGTTCACGATCAAGGTGTTAACAGGCCTGGTTTCTCTGGGCTCACAGGGAAACCTCATGCCCTTGCAAAGTCTTTCCTCTGTGCGCACACTCTCTTTGGCCTAATCTCAATTTGGATTTGGTCTCACTCTGACAGTCTCATTTCAACTTAATTACATCTTTAAAGGCCCTACCTACAAATAGTCATATTTTGAGGGACTAGCAGGGTTAGGATTTCACAGGTGAGAATTTCAGGCACACAGTTTAGCTCAAAGCAGATAACTTCTTGAAGAACAGTGAGAATCTACTGTAAGGGATATGATGGGTTGAAAGATGGGAGAGAGAAAGGGTGGGGAAACAATCAATTGACAGAGACAAACTGTATCACACACTGGATTTTCTTCTCATCCTGAACAGGCCTTAAAGACTGATAAACTTGCCCTGATTGGTGTGGCGCAGTGGTTAGCTATTGTCCTGTGCACCAAAAGGTTGCCGGTTTGATTCCTGGTCAGGGCACATGCCTGGGTTGTGGACTCAGTCCTGAGTAGGGGACAGCCGATCAAATTGATGTTTCCCTCTCTCCACCTTCCTCTCTTTCTAAATATCAATTTTTAAAAATTTTAAAAAGAAAAAGACTGACAGACTTTTTTCTTTTCTTTTTTCTTTTCAGAAGACAGAAGCACATCATTCCTGGCAGGGGGTGTGCTATCCAGCCCCGACTGGGGAAGTGACTGTAAGTTCAAATTTAAGTGACTCGATTCTTTGACTTGCGGAGCCAGGCAGGGGGACTACAGGCTGTGGTTACCAGAGTGAGAAACAGGCAAAGGCTGCACCCTGCCACACACCCCCATGGCATTACGCTTGTGTAATGGCAGCCAGCCTCACCATTCAGGGGAGCGTTAGAAATGGTGGCTCATTACTAGGCAGGTGTGGTTGATCTCCATGGATTTTAATAATTTTGAACTTCCTGCCATCTTCTATTTTTTATCACTGTGTTTTCATTTTTCTCATTTTTAAAAAGCATTTTCAATACATTTCAATTTATTAGGGCTTCTAGGATCCTGGAATTTTTTTTTTTTTTTTTTTTTGGATAGGATGAGGCTGTCTATTTAGTTTCTCTTTCTTTCTTTCTTTTTTAAAATATACTTTATTGATTTTTCACAGAAAGGAAGAGCGAGGGATAGAGAGTTAGAAACATCGATGAGAGAGAATCATCGATCAGCTGCCTCTTGCACAACCGCTACTGGGGATGTGCCCCGCAACCAAGGTACATGCCCTTGACTGGAATTGAACCTGGGACCTTTCAGTCCGCAGGCTGACGCTCTATTCACTGAGCCAAACCGGTTTTGGCTATTTAATTTTCTTAAAATTTACTATAACAACAACAAAAATGCCTTTTTCCTTCCCTCCTCCTCCTCTTTTTTTCTATCTGAACACAAGTGACACCCATTGATCCAGGAAACACTTGCTTTGCATTCTGAAATGTGGACACTGGGCTGAAATACAATACTCCTTTCCTCTGCAGAAGAGTTTACCTTATTTTCTTTATTTCTTCTCAACCCAGGGATTGATACAACAATCAGTTCTATTCAGATTATGGAAATCCAGCAAATAATAGATCGCCGGTATTGCAGTAGAAGCCTCCAGTGCGGGTGGGTAAGCCTCCCCATTACACCCAGTTGTTTCTGGAATTTACTCCAGGCTCTGGGTGTTTTGAATAAAAGCTAACACCACATGGTAAAATCAATGTGTGTTTACATTGCTCCTTAAGTGAAAACACATTTGTTACACGGTGGAAGAGGGAATCATAAAACGGTTGGTATTAGCAAATGTCAATAAACCACGGCTCCAATGATCCCGGTCTCCTGGTTTTAATGGGTATGACCAAAGCAAAAAACTTAGTGGCAGCCCTGTGGCCGACTCTCTGCGGGAACAAACCAGGGATGCAGAGGGGCTAGTTAATTTTATAGACAAGAAAGACATTGTTACCAATGGCTTCAATTTATGAGTGAGTTGAAATTTGTACATTTAAATAGGTAGGGATATCATTACTTTGTTTATTTTTTAATATGTTTTATTGATTTTTGACAGAGAGGAAGGGAGAGGGACAGAGAGTCAGAAACATCGATAAAGAGAAACACTGACCAGCTGCCTCCTGCACACCCCCCAACAGGGATGTGCCCACAACTAATGTACGTGCCCTTGACCGGAATCGAACCTTGGACCCTTCAGTCTACAGGCTGACGCTCTATCCACTGAGCCAAACCAGTTTTGGCGGATATCATTACTTTAATTGCTGAGAAAAAATATAGCTTATCTTAGCTTTTTCAGCTAGGAGGGGGGAAAATCCAGGTACTAAAAAGTATCAGCAGCATCCACCTCTAGTGCATGTTGTCTATCTGTGTGGCACTAGCGCTGGGTCAGAAGCATGGAGAGCAAGTGGCTTCAGCAAGCACCATATACAAGTTATAGCATTAAGAATGGGAGCTCTGCCTGGCCACAATGGCTCAGTGGTTGAACATTGACCTATGAATCATTAGGTCACGGTTTGATTCCCAGTCAGGGCACATGCAGCCAATCAATGATTCTCTCTCATCATTGATGTGTCTATCTCTCTCATCCTTTCTCTCTGAAATCAATAAAAACCTACTGAAAAAACAAACAAACAACACACACAACCTATTGGGGGGGAAAGAATGTGAGTTTTTTTTTTTCCCTTTGATGAATATTTACCAGGTGCCTGCCAGCTTGAAAGCAAGGCTCTATCTTTTTAAACTAGAGTCACAAATCCTTTGAATTCTCAGGCTTATTCCTTTTCAACCTGATATAACTTAGGCTGCAAGTTGATGGTCCTGAGTTGGTTTTTTTTTTTTTTTTTTTTTTTTTTTTGTGTGTGTGTGTGTGTGTGTGTGTGTTTTGTTTAATATATTTTATTGATTTTGTACAGAGAGGAAGGGAGAGAGAAGAGAGCCAGAAACATCGATGAGAGTCATCCATCAGCTGCCTCCTGCACACCCCCCATTGGGGATGTGCCCGCAACGAAGGCACATGCCCCCAACCGGAATCGAACCCGGGACCCTTCAGTTCCCAAGCCAACGCTCTATCCATTGAGCCAAACCGGTTTCGGCTGGTCCTGAGTTTTAAAAACAAAGTGCATGGAGCTTTATGCCTTGCTTATGACCTCTGCATGTTCATCTCATTGAGTCCTCAGGACATCCCTGAAGGCTGGTGTTACTTATTTGCATTTTGTTGTTAAGGAACCTGAGGTTCAGTGAACTTGAAAAAGCCAGAGACAGACATTAATGAACGTGGTAGGGTGACATAATAAAAAAGAATAAGACAATTCAGGTTTAAATTCTAGAACTTTGACAAGATCTTTATTCTGCCTTTCCCATCCACTGAGTAGGGTTGCCGAAAAGTATACACATCTTGGGAGTCCTGGGGCAGGGAATGAATTCCATTCATCTGAGCTTCATCCAGTCAGACAAAGCTCTCCTGATTCCAGTGCAGATCTATGTTCCTCATTTTTGCATACTCATTCTTGACAACTTATTTTCGTGGTCAGTACAGAGAATCTAAAACCACTGGCTATTTTTCCCATTTACTGGGTTTTAAGTTGTTTCCATATATATTTAAAAGATGGTCAGGTCATACGAACTTAGGTCTGATATGCCTTTTTCTTCTGGAGATTTCATTTCAATATGAAATCAAAGGAATTCCCTCTTTACCCCCAGTTTCTCTCTCTCAGGGGAGAGGGGAGGACACTGTCTAAGCATTTCTGTCTGGCAATTACCTCCATTACTAAGTGGTAATTAGGACTATAATAATTTTAGTTGGTTCAAGTTCTGAAAGTGCATAATATTTCCTGCTAATGTTTCCTAAAAGGGAGTGATTTACAGTAGAAAAGCTGGTGTTTATTATGTCTTATCCTCCATCCAGAGGGGCTGTTAGTTTGAGGTCTTTGCCTCATTTGTTTTCTGAAATCTGTATCTCTTAGGGGAACTGAAGTCATTTCCTGTGTGCTTAGCTTTGTGCATTTGGCCTGGGATTTGACTTTCCATCACTATTTGTCTGTGTGTTCTCACAAGCTACACATTTTGTGGTACATTTTGTATATTAAGACCTGAAAGAAATTCCTTTGCATCTTGACAGGTATGTATCTGAAAAACATAAAACTATACCATGTTAAATTTGGTTTTATACATTTACTATAGAATGTTTTACTTTACATAGTATATAATGAGCAGCAAAAAGCCTTTTGCATCATTTCCTGCATATTTTGATTTGTGGTTTGATTTTTTTTTATATAATTAGGTCTGGAAATTACAATTACAACATTCCTGTTAATAAGAACACACCCACCAATGTCAAATTCTCTCTGGAAATCAAGTAAGTGTGTAACTGTAAAAACCAGTTCTATTTTTATTATTATTTGAGTAGCCAGCCTGAATTTACCATTTGATCAGTAAGTCAAGAGGTAGAACTTACCAGTCTCTGTTGACAGTTGGGTTGAGAGGTGGACCAGTTTGGGAAAGGGGTTTTCAAAATGAAGGCCAAGATGTTCCAAGCTCCCTCCCTCTACGGGGCTGGAAAGGCTCTAAACCATACACTCACACCTGCAAAATGGAAGTGACCTTGGGTTTGATACTCGCTCACAAGCTGCAGACTGCCCCTGACTGTGCCCCTCTGACTCAGGGTGGAAACAAGAGCAATAGCAGGGCCCTGGATGGGGGGACTGCACATTTTTGTGAGCTCCTGGTAGCAGTGCTAATGTAGACACCACCTCCTTTCCCCAGAGGAGTTAAAAAAGGAGTCAGAGTTTGGAATCGGGCAGACCAGAGCTCAAATTTGTTTCTGTCACTCACTACTTCTCTAATCTTGGAGGAGCCACTTATCCTCTCTGGGCTACTGTTTACTCATCTATAAAATGAGTTTGACATTATACCATAACAAGGAGAGCTGCTGTGGGAATCACTGTTAATAACAGTGAGATTAATAAGTACCATTTGCGGAGCACAGACTATAAATTAGACACTCCACTTTAGTATCGGGTCATATAATCCTCACAATAATCCTCCACGGTTGGTATTGTTTTTCTAGTTTTTGTTTTTCAGATGGGAACACAGGTTTTGAGAGGTCAGAAAACCCAACATGAAACTCAGAGCTCCTAAGAGCTGGAGCTGGGCTTTCAAACTCAGCCCATTTTTTAGGCCATACTTTCCCCCTTTCCCAATGAGATGAGATATGTAAGAATATTGCTGCTCCCTGGCACATCGCCAGCACTCAATACATGGTAGCTCTTATTATGACCACCTTTCCTCCAAAATCACAAAATTATTCTGATCAATTTCAATTAATTATGGTACTTTAAGACTTTTTTACTCACTTTGCTCAGAAAGTATGCAATAAGCTACCTCTTACCACAAAGATAGATAATTTTCATTTTGTATCTCTTGACTTTAGTTTCTCCTTTTCTCCTTCCTCCGCATTTCCTCTCTTCTCCCCTTCCTTTGCTCTCTCTTCCCCTTTCTCCCCTTTCTTTCTCTGCTTCCCCAGTTCTGTTGTTCCTCCTCCTAGTTTCATTCTTCTTCTGGTTCACTTGGGCTTCCTATGCCTCCTCTCAATCAGCCTGCTTCTATAATGAACTAATGACTCTCACCCCATCCACTTGCCTCGGAAAGATCTGTTTCAAGCAGCTAATATCTCATGGCCCAGAACTCACGATAAGTCAAGGCAGAGCAAAAGCTAAATGTGCTATTCTTGTGAGTTAAATGCTCTCCTATTCTCCAGCACTCCCTGAGTAACCCGATATGGCGTTTCCTTCTTCATTCCTAGCTTCATGGAGGGAAATGAGCTTACATGGTATATCCCCTGAAGTGGCAGCAGGTCCATCTTGAGCGACTAAATTGGCCATTTTTCTAATATGGGTGATTTAAAAATAACCTAGATACTCAACTGAGATTATAGGTTGTCTGTGCAAAAGATTGTTTCCCAACACGGATGAATCTTATGGTCTTGGTGATGACGAATGGGCCAGCCTCCAGGGAAGAACCATTCTTCCACTCTGACAGGTTTAAAGGCTGTTCATGTCCAGTGGGTCTCACCCCCACACCCCTTCCTGTGTGTGTTAGCCTTGCTGCTTCAAACAGAAGCTACCCAGATCAGGCTTTTGCAGACTCTGAAATCCTGGAAACTTCAGATAGTTGCAAGTTAGTTTCAGCGCAAAGGGAAAGAATATAGCTCCAAATTATTTTAAAATCTTCGGAGAGAAGAAATTCTAATGTCGGTGTAATTTTTAAATCGGGGGTTTAGGTTTCAGAGACTGTCAAACATTAATTCAGTAGTTGTCTTAGTCCATTTAGGCTGCTATGACAAAAAAATGCCATAGACTGGGTGGCCTAAACAATAAACATTTGTTTTTCTCTGTCCTGAAGGTTGGGCAGTCCAACATCAAGGCACTGGCAGATTCGGTGCCCGGTGAGTGTCTGCAGCCGGGCTAATAATGGTCGCCTCCGCTGTGTCTTCACATGGCAGAAGGAATGAGAGTGCTCTCGGGAGTCTTTTTTATAAGGGCACTAATTTCACTTCCCGCTCTGACCTAATCACCAAAGGCTCTACCTCCTAACTGTTAGGAGTGGTCGGCAAACTCATTAGTCAACAGAGCCAAATATCAACAGTACAACGATTGATATTTCTTTTGAGAGCCAGTTGTTTTAAACTTAAACTTCTTCTAACGCCAATTCTTCAAAATAGACTTACCCAGGCCATGGTATTTTGTGGAAGAGCCACACTCAAGGGGCCAAAGAGCCGCATGTGGTTCGAGAGCCCAGTTTGCTGACCACTGTCCTAACACCATCACCCTGGAGGATAGGATTTCAATACCTGGATTTGGGAGAACACAAACATCCAGTCCAAAGCAGTAGTCACCTGAGATTGAGTTTCCTCCTTTAACAATGAGATGTGAGCTAACACACCAGCATCAGTGAGCTCTGGGTAATAAGATGCTTATTTTGAGCTTTGAATGGATTTCCACATTATGTTCCCATTATGTTTCTCCTTCTCCTTCTCTCCTTCTCCTTCTCCTTCTCCTTCTCCTTCTCCTTCTCCTTCTCCTTCTCCTTCTCCTTCTCCTTCTCCTTCTCCTTCTCCTTCTCCTTCTCCTTCTCCTTCTCCTTCTCCTTCTCCTTCTCCTCTCCTTCTCCTTCTCCTTCTCCTTCTCCTTCTCCTTCTCCTTCTCCTTCTCCTTCTCCTTCTCCTTCTCCTTCTCCTTCTCCTTCTCCTTCTCCTTCTCCTTCTCCTTCTCCTTCTCCTTCTCCTTCTCCTTCTCCTTCTCCTTCTCCTTCTCCTTCTCCTTCTCCTTCTCCTTCTTCTTATTCTTTTTTTTTTCTTAGGAGTAATCTGCTCTGTATTGTTCCAATTTTAGACTAGATGCTGCTGAAGCGAGCATTGCTCCCTCTTCTTATTAAAGTGTCGCCTGGAAGGAGATGATAACTGCTTTTCCATTTGCCCTTTATTTCCTTTGTTTTTTGAAGCACAACTGAGCCACTGATAGTCTTCCAGTGCAAAGTCACCCTTGGAAATATATGTTTCCAGAGGAAAGGGAAAGCCAAATGGATGCAGACCCAGAAAGAAGCCTCTCAGGAGATGACACAGGTAATGTTTTCTGTCTCCTCAGCATCATGCCCCTGATCCAGGAGGCGTGTGTGTAGGACTGTGGTGAGCCTCTGCTCCCAACGAAGAGAGCGAGGCCTTGAGCTGCATGCCAGGGCCTCCGCTTGCTGGCTGACCCTGGTTCCCGGCTTTGCTCAGCCGCTTCCTTGCGTCCTCTGGAAGCTGCAGTTCTGACAATTCTTATCAAAAGCTGTTGTCACAGACACCTCTCCTGCAGTGGACAAGGAAATGCTTTCTCAGCCCATCCTCTTCCCAAATAAGTGTAAAATGTGGTTATGAAGTGGATCTCTTTCACTCACTATTTAGGGATACCAGCACATCTGGAGCCTCCCGGTAGCTCCGTTCTTTGATAGCGCCTACCATTTCCGTGTGGCCGCACCGGTAAGCTCTTTAAGTTTTCTTTTCAGTGAGATAAAAGAGAAAGAAAGAAAGAAAGAAAGAAAGAAAGAAAGAAAGAAAGAAAGAAAGAAAGAAAGAAAGAAAGAAAGAAAGAAAGAAAGAAAGAAAGAAAGAAAGAAACTACAGTCAATTCTTACATTTAATCGTTCTCTTTTTTTCTCCTGTTCTGACAGGATTTAGCTGACTGTTCAACGGATCCTTATTTTGCTGGAATATTCTTTACAGATTACTTCTTTTACTTCTATCGACACTGTGCCTAATTTATTCAAGTTTGGTTGGGGACTTCACCAAGGAAAAATACTCAGAAATACGGTTAACAGAAACTTATGTCCTTATATCCAACTTCTTCCATCTTTTTGTCTAACACCCACATTTCTTGCCAAAGGACTTGATCAGGCTTTGATTTTGAGACATCAATGAGGATTATAAAGTCTTTGCTGAAACTTGAGATAATGTGGTGCTTGATTTTGCCATGACTACAAAGAAAACAGCACTCTTAGACTTGAGAATACTGCTTCTGGAATTAAGGAAGCTCTGAGGTCAAAAGAGGCAGGTCTAGCTCTACTTTGAATGTATTTCAAAGCTTTGGAGAAAAACAAAAAGACCCATTAAGCCATGTCAACTTAGACCCACTGAACTTGAGAGAATGTGTGCTATAGAGTGTGTTGGCAGGAGGGGTGGTGATGTCTGTTGCTGAGCTCATATTTAGACAAACTATTGCTATGTGTTTGCTTGTGTGTGTGTGTGTGTGTGTATGTGTGTGTGTGTGTGTGTGTGTGGAGAGAGAGAGAGAGAGAGAGAGAGAGAGAGAGAGAGAGAGAGAGAGAGAGTGTACTACATACACTACACTACAGGGAGTTGCTTGCTAATGAAAGCCACTGGGATTAGTAAGAGTAATAGTTGCACGTCTACTTTGTAATGTTTGAAGGACACTAAACTTTCTGTGTGGTGGGATTTTTCTTCCTGTAAAGAGGGAAGCACCAGCTTGTGACAAGTTTTTTAAGTCTCCTTAGATGATCTAGGCCCAGGTATTTGCATTTGATCTAATTGTCATTGCTGTTTTTCCTCTACTTAAAGTGGGGGGGGGGGGGGGGGGGTGCCCTTAAAGGGCAAGACCATCTCAGTTGTTTATAGTGAAATTAGCTTTGGAAATGTCTACCTGGTTTATGGGTAGGTTTGTATGCTTTTCCAAAGTTAGGATGGCCATAACTCCTCTGGCCATTCTATGTGTTAAGTATGTCTTTTATTTTCTGTATTCTGATGTTTTGACATCTCAAGGTTTTGCTGACCCTGGAGGGACTACACCTCCCAGGGTTAGCCAGTTCCTAGAGACAATAAACATATTTCCCAGGTGTCTTTTAAAATACAAACCAACCAATCCAGAGCCCGTCCCCCAGCCACCTTCTTTATCACACTGTCACATCCACCTGTGCCAATCACCCCAGGGCCAGGGGCCAGATGATCACTAGGCACAGCCCCTGTCCTGTGTCCCATAGCCTTGTCAAATTATTCAAATGAGCCGGTCCTCAGCCTGTTTACCCTGCTCACCTGTTCCTTCCTGTGGAAACTACAGTGAAGGCTCTTACCCATAGTTCTTTCCTTTTCTTCTAACAACCATGGTACCTCCCAATGTGTCCCTCAGAGGTATGTCCTGTCTCTTCCTTTTGGGAACTATGAGCAACAGATTATCTTTTCAATGCTGAACATCTCCTGAACTGTTGGTCTTCTTATACCTCAAATTTTCTATTAACACACTATATTTTATAACATAGAGAACAGAATCAAGCCACTCTTGCTCTGGTTCCAGGTGACAGAACTGCTGAATGGCTGGCCTTCCCTTATCTTACTATTGGCCAATCAATTAAAAGATGAGATAATTTGATTTTTTTTTACCTTGACAATAATAATCAGTAATAATAATATATCCTCCTCTTCCTTGTTTTCAAGTGTTATTAAACATGTGTCATGTGAATATAAATTAATTGTGAGGCCCCCACACTTAAGAGAAGAAAGACTTGCTAATGAAATGAATTTAAGAGAAATAGTTGGATGTCTACTTTGTAATGTTTGATGGGTACTAAACTTTCTGTGAGAGAAACATCAAATCCCAACTGAGGGGCATTCACCCAGATGGCATTTTGAAATAGATTATTGACATAAAGACAGTTTAACCCTGCAAGAGCTGAGACTTTGGAGCCAAAAAGTCCTTGCTTTGAATTCAAATTCTGACTTTATCTGTGCCTTTTTTGGCAAGTTATTTAACTTCTCTACACTTCAATTTCCTCACTTATAGAAGAGGAAATTTACAGATAGGGATAAGTGGTATAAAACACATATAAGCTATTATTATACCTTCACAGAGCTGAATCATTATAAAGACTACCATGGGATTATAAAGAAATTGAATAGCTAAATACAGATATTAAAGCATTTGTGTCAACTGTAAACACACATACACACACACACAGAACATATGTAGTAGATAATGTTTATATGTTTTTCTATGTTAGAAAAATTGTTTTTCTCTTTTGTTAACCAGCATAATCTTTGTGGAAAATAAAATAAGACAGTTATTCTTGGGAGGAGTACTACAGAATTCCTCCCATTTCTTAGACTCCAATTAAACTGTTTCTCCTGTGTTGTATCACCCTGTCCAGAATGACCTAGCTCTGGGTCTGCAGCTGCCACTCCATCTCATAATGGCATCCCAGGTGCTTGGTACCAGAGAGACTCCGTTAACTTGACTCTTCTCCTGGTAAAGGAATCCTTGTCAGCCACAGTTACAAGAGTTCTCTTCAGCATATAAACCCCATGTCCTTACTCAAGCACTTATGTTCAAGATGATATGAAGGTTTCAGATATCTAATGCAGTTCAGTCATGTTGCTTATTAGGGGATTTCTGTAAAATGAATACTGTGTTCTTATTAAGTCCCATTTAAAAACTGGAAGTCTTTTTCCCACAGAAAACTTATTATAAAAGATTGTGTTGAAAGTCTTCAGAAATAAAGGATTGAAGAGAGTGGACAGACCAGTGGCAATCCAGGGCATCTTGTAATTAGTTAAACCTACAAGGAAAAGAATAGATTTTGCTGGAAGATTCTCTTGTATTTGTAGCACTTTTCCAATTGTGAGCTGTCCACAGTGGACCATGCTACTTCAGGTCAAAATATTTTTGTGTGTGTGTCAGAGAATTACATGACTTTCCACTGGAATATTTTTAAATTAAAATAATTAAAATGTCTATATGAGTCTTCCTCCCAACATTCCATAACCTTAGTCTACTCATGAGAAAAACATCAAACAAATACCAACTATAGGCATTCTACAAAATACCTAATCAGTGCTCCTCAAGATAGTCAAGGTCATCGAAAACAAGCCAAGTCTGAGAAAGTCATGGCCAAGAAGAGCTTACAGAAACAGGATGCCTAAATGTGATGTGGTATCCTGGAAATGAAAAAAGGGAATTAGGTAAAGATGAAAGGAATCTGAACAAAGTATGGATGTCAGTTAGTGGTAAGGTATCAATATTGGCTTATTTATTGTTACAGATGTTCATAACGGGAAACTAGGTGTGGGGTTCATTGAAACTCTTTTACTAGCTTTAAATTTTCCTATAAATCCAAATCTCCTCCAAAATAAAACACTTAAAAAAGAAAAAAGTCAGAAAAAAAAATTTAAGAGCTGGGCTTCAGCACCAGCTCCTGTCACCAGGAGCCATTTGTGATAATATAGGATAAGTTCAAGCTGAAAATAGGTATTTTTAACTTCAGGCCAAAGTACTTTATTTCCCTACCTTGCCAATTACTTGTCATATTTGATATATCAATTTAATTAGTTCCAAAATACCATGGGAAATACTACATAATTATAAAATAGAAATATATGCATGCAATAAAATGTATCATCAATAATACAGATAAATAGAATTATAATAATTTTTCATGAGTGCTAACAGAGGATCTCAGACAAAATTTTGAAAGCTGTCAATTTTTTAAAGCAACCAAAACACAAAAATTCACTTAAAACTATTAGCATGTGTGTGTTCAACCCTACAGCACTTTTAAACAAAATCATTTTGTAGTACTCCTAACTTACTTTGTTTTCATTTTTTTTTTTTTTTTTCTTCTATGCAATTTTTGGATTTCACTTCAGTGGCAGATTCCCAACACTACAATGTTTGAATCATTAAACTAAAGATCTTCAAGTAAAAAGCAAAATGGCAATTCTTTTAGCAGTTTGGCAAAGCACTTTCATAAACCTCCTCAGTGGATTCTTACAAAAGCTTTGGTGATTGGGAGTGAGGGAAGTTATTCATATTTCCCCATTCTACAGATAAAGAATGGAGGACAGAGAGGTTAAGGAAGGAAAAGAAGTGAGCCAGGCTTTCTGGTGCTAAATTATATCCCTTTCCACTGCATTACATATCTCCTTTCCTGTGGCTGCCATCGCAAAATTTAAGAGTTGATGGCTTAAATAACAGGAATTTATTTCTCAGTGTTCTGGGGACTGGAAGTCCAAGATCAAGGTGTCAGCAGGCTCAGTGCCTGGTAAGGGCTGCATCCTTGAGTTGCAGACATCAGTGTTCTCACTATGTCCTCGCATGGCCTTCTCAAAGTGCAGGCAGGTGGAGAGAGAGATGGAAGGAGGAATCACGTTTCTTGATGTCTCTCCTTAAGGGCACTGATCATATTCTGAGGGCCCCCTCCCTCCTGATCCCATCTAAACCTAATTACCTCCCAACTTCCCTATTTCCAAATGCCCTGGGGACTAGGGCTTCCACATATGAATTTGAGGAAAAGACAATTCAGTCCTTAGCATGACATCACTTACCCTTTGGAAATTTTTTCCGTTCTTTACAACTCTTAGTAACTTTTGAGAAACCATCAACTCAGATATTGACCCACCAAAAAGGTACTGACGAGTTAATGGCTCCGGTAAGTGCTATTTACATGTAGCAGGCCTTGTAAACTGATAGGATCCGTCAGAGATCATTTAATCGAAATACAGAATGGCGAGTGGGTTGAGGGACAGAGATGAAGGGCTCTCTGTCACCAGTCACTAAGTTCCATGTATTCACTAAAATATTGCACCAGGGCTTAAAAGCTCATGTAAGAATGCTGAAGATCAACCTCACTCTGAGGAACACTTCAGCAAAATCCTCACTTGGCAAAGATTAAAGTGTTTTGGCTTTTGTTTCTTCAGCGACATGTGTCATTGATTTTTGTGTCTGAGGCTAAAGAGCCAATTGAGCTCTTAAGAA